CTCACGAGCGGTCCCCTTGTAGTTTACTTGCTTCATCAAATCAAAATGTAAAGCATCCAATAGAAAACAACAAGCATGTGCATCAAATTCATAGAGGACTCTTTGAGCTTTGGTTAGAGTTCCATGATCCAAGACATGGGTGAGACCACTAGTGACAACCCACCAAAATTTAGGTCCCTTTGCACGAAAATGATCAAGCATGTGATTTTTCCAAAGTGCAAAGTTTGTGCCATCAAAAATGTGATTCTCACAACCATCTAGCCCATTAGGCACCATCCTCTCGGGTCGGTGAAGACCACAAATGAGAGACCGGGCTCTGATACCAATTGAAGGGTCGAGATGGCGGACTAGAGGGGGGGTGAATAGTCTTTTCTAAAATTAATCGCGTCGGCTAACCGATATAAATGCGGAATTAAAACAATCGGTCTAGCCAAGACTACACCCCTCTATATATGTTCACTAGCACCTTGCAAAGATACTAATAAAGCAACTAAGGTGCCGGGCTAGCTAGAGCTCTCCTAAACAATTCTAGGAGCAAGGTCACACAAACCTATGCCACTAGTACTTTAAGTAACAAGGGAGCTCCTACACATGCTAGTAAGCAAAAGCACAAAGCTAACTAAGCTCACTAGCAATGCTCAATAACAAGCCAACCAATGCCTAATTAGAGAGCGCAAATACTTAGCTACACAAACTAAGCAATGTGACTAACAAGGTTACTAAAACCAAATTAGCCACGCAAGGGAGCTACTTCTATGCTACACAAGCAAGAAGGTAATTAGCTAGCTACACAAGCTATCTAATTACAAGAGCAACTACACAAACTTAAGATATATATATAAGTAATTGCAAGCTTGTGTAATGGGGATGCAAACCAACGGGAAGAACAAGGTTGACACGATGATTTTTCTCCCGAGGTTCACGTGTTTGCCAACACGCTAGTCCCGTTATGTCGACCGCTCACTTGGTGGTTCGGCGGACTAATTAGCATCACCCGCTAAGCCCGCACGTCGGGCACCGCAAGAACCTACCCCTTGAGTGAGGGTAGCTCAATGACACGCTTTACTAAAGTTGCTCTTCATGACTCCGTGTAAGCGAGCACAATGCCCCTCACAAGCACTTCTCCGGAGCGCCGCACAAGCTTCTTGCGGCTTGACGACGGAGACCACCACCAAGCCGTCTAGGAGGTGGCAACCTCCAAGAGTAACAAGCACCACCGGCTCGCAACTCGATCACCTAGTGCCACTCGATGCAACCTCATGATGCAATCGCACTAGAATCGCTCACTCACACAATCGAATGATCACTATCAAGTATATGTGTGATGGAGGGCTCCCAAGCACTCACAAGCATGGACACTAAGTCCCTTGAGGTGCTCAAATTTCAGCCATGGCGGAGGGCCACTTCTATTTATAGCCCCAAGGGCTAAACTAGCCGTTACCCTTCATCAGGCAGCGGTCGGGCCGACCGGACGCTCCGGTCGTGTTGACCGGACGCTGGACCTCAGCGTCCAAGCGCGCATGACGGCCCGCGTGTCCGATTCCAACGGTCACTTGACTTGACCGGACGCGGCGGCTTTCAAGCGGCCGGACGCTGAACCCCAGCGTCCGGTCGTTTCGATAAGAAGTACCGACCTCGACCGGACGCGTCCGGTCACATACTTGATCGGACGCAGCCATGTCCGGTCACACTCCGGCTTTCTGCGTCATCGTCGTCGACGTCACCGACCGACGCACTGCCAAATGTTGGTGCATTCAGATCCAAATATTCCGGTCGGTTGACCGACGCCAAACATCTTCGCGACTAACTTGCGTTTTCACTTCTAACTTCATCACCCTTGCTCCAATGTGCTAACCACAAGAACTTGCATCTGGCGCAATAGAACATAGGCATTCTATTTTCCCGAAAGCGCCCGAATCCCGCCGAGAGAGGGACCCAAACCCATCTCACCCTCAAGAAACACCACCTCCTTTGTAAATGTGCCAACACCACCAAGTGTACACCACCATGTGTATGTGTGTTAGCATTTTCACAATCATTTCCCAAAGGATGTTAGCCACTCAACTTGCCACGCCACTCGATCCTAGCGACAATGCAAAGTTAGATCACTTTCGAGTGGCACTAGATGACCGATATGCAAACAAGTTTGCCCCTCTTGATAATACGGCCATCTATCCTAAACCCGATCATAAACTTCTCTACACACCTATGACCGGTGAAATGAAATGCCCTAGGTTATACCTTTGCCTTATGCATTCCATTCCATCTCCTCCAATGTTGATGCAACACATGCACCAACACGATCAACAATGATATGATCCACTTCGTATCATCATGTGATCATATTGGTTCATCGATCTTGACTTCACTTGCCCTTCACCGTTGCCATCGTCCATCGACGCCAAGTCTTGCTCAAGCTTCACCGCCACGCGGTCCATCACTCCAAAGCCTTCGACTTGCCCTTCACGCTTGCAACCGGTCCATCAAGCCAAGTCTTGTCTTGATCTTCTCCTCCTTGATCACATGACTCAATGTCATGTCTCATGTGCAATAAGCTCCTTCATCATCACATGTGTGAGCTTTGCAACATCTCCAAGCCATTTTCACCTCCATGGCATATGTTGCTCATACACATGTACCTGTGGACTAATCACCTGTGTATCTGACATAAACACAATTAGTCCACCTAGGTTGTCACTCAATTACCAAAACCAACAAGGACCTTTCAAGAGGTTGGACGACGGCGGAGACTCGCGCCAACTCTCCCTCCGTTGAAATGATGAAGTCCAGATTCCCGAAGCGCACATGCACGCTCGGGACCCAGCTGACGCCGTGATTAGCCATCCGAGGCCTGATGTGGACGTCGAGACGAACAAAAAGCCCCTACCTGGCGTGCCAACTGTCGGTGTTTTCAGACCACCGACGATTAAATTTGTATTTGTGTGTCTGGCTCGGATGGTGTGCTCGGAGGACACAAGGGTTTATACTAGTTCAGGCGGAACGTCCCTACGTCCAGTTTGTTGCTGCTCGTGTTATCGACACTTGGTTTGTAGTAGGGGTTACAAACAGGCGAGAGAGGAAAAGGATCCCAAGTCTCTGGTGAAAGGAGTGAACGGGTACTGAGAGCTCGATCGCTACTTAGCCATGTGCTTGTGTCGTGCTCTTGTGTTTTTATCTCGTGGTTTGGTCTCATGCGGCCCTGGATCCCCCTCTCATGGGGCGCCCTGCTTTCTCTTTTATAGAAGAAGAGAAAGCGTGGGTTACAGCGGAGGAAAAGGAGAAGAACGAGAAAGAGAGAAGAAGGCTTCCAGGATCGCCGGGTCCTTTTTCTCCTTCATGCGGGTCCCGTCGATCCTGTAGATGTCAACAGGGATGGCTCTATGTCGCGACCCTGTTCGTCACTAGCGCCAGCACAGGCGTCATCTACCGGCCATGGCGTTCCATTCTATCCCAGTGGACATCGTGGGTGAACTGACGCGCGTGTCAGTGTTCGTACGAGGGTTAGGCAGAACAGCACCGGCACGCCCGGCGCTGTTCTTGATGTGAACCCTTAGGTATGGCCCGTCATGGCCATGGGTCACATCGAGGCGTGCCAGTCTCTTCCCTGGTGTCAGAGTTTTGACCCAGGCACATACGCTTGGATCTAGAGTGGTTGGCGGTGGTATGGGTCCCCGTCGGGCGAGACGGAGCCCGCGGCCTTGGGGTCGGGCGAGACAGAGCACGAACCCAAGGGTTCGGGCGAGACGAAGCCCGCGGCCTTGGGGTCAGGCGAGACAAAGCTTTCACCCGAGGGGTCGGGCGAGACGGAGCGCGAACCCAAGGGGACGGGTGAGACGGAGCCCGTGGCCTTGAACGAGACCCCTGTGGCCTCGAGGTTGGGTGAGACGGAAACCGCGTCCTTGGGGTCGGGCAAGACGGAGCCCGTACCTAAGGGGTCGGGCGAGATGGAGCACGAACCCAAAGGGTCAGGCGAGACCTTTTAATACGTCTTGGTCCATCCAAGAAGCTTTGGGTATCCCTAATATCGATACCCGACAAAAAGTATATTCCACAATCAACTATAATGATATTTATTACATATCATAAATATAAGAATTTTATGTATATACTTGATTAAACTTAAAAATATTTTGGAACGAAAGGAGTAATGACTATGAGCTTGACCTGGGAGAGGGACTCCAATGACACTTGTGGAGGGCATTTCCGATACCTTGGTGATAAAATAAAAGGTCTTGAGCGAGTTTTGTACTTGTTTACTTTACATTTCACATTTAAATTTTCCTATACCTTTTTTTGCTAATTAAATTTCCCGATACCTTGGTGATAAAAGAAAAAGGTTTTGAGCGAGTTAGTATTTGTTTACTTTACATTTCACATTTAAATATTGCACTTTTACCTTTCCTACAATTGCTGGGTATAGTTGGTAGCATTGGAACATTGGCCGGGTGCAGATCTTTGTAGCTGTAGACATATAAGACAGAAAAAACTTAACTGGTCCGCATCTACAAAGAAATTATGTTGGTCTCTTTTATACGTTGGAGCCTCACATTTTTATTTATATTAGATGCCTAATTCAAACAAGTGCCCACTCCTATTGTCTCAATTCACCTTAGTATTTTTTTTAACGAATCAAGAGAGCTGTTGAATATATAGATAAAGAAGACGGCTTAGATAAAGAAGACGGCTTAGACTAGACAAACAACAGACTCAAAAAGAGGTAACAACGGAAACACTATCTACCAAGGAACAACAAACACGATCGAAACATTTTTCAAGCACCGTACAAAAACATTTATATAAAATATGAACTGAAAAAATATGGGAGGCTATCAAAGCTCACAACTACGGATGTCTTGCTAATTCAAACATGTTCGACAATTACATCAATATCTTTATATGAATCGACAAACATATAGAATCAATCAAATTACGGTATTTACCGAACCACGGGCACAGCGTAATTTACAAATTCGTCCACGTCAGAGCGTCTGGATTTCTTATCATTTCTTCTTACTCGATTCTTTCTTTGAGTTCCTCTCTTGCTCCAACCTTTCGAACAGGCTGCCATCGTAGACTGCCCTGACAGTGTCTTTGTGGAGAAACCCGTCCTTGTCTTTGCACAGGGAGTACAGCACCTTCCATTCTGTGAAGCCACCTAGCCTGCGGAAATTTTGCAGAAAAAATATTCAGATCAGAGGGATCAAGTATATTGCTTGTCCAATGTCAATTGCTGCAGAGAACTTACCATCCTTTCAAGTCTTTAGGTTCCCTGTTTGCTTGCAGCATCTCCTGTAGCTCTTTGCCTGTAAGAGCATCAGGCCTGGTGTGGGCATACTTCTTGAAAATCTCCTCAAATTTTTCAGGGACAAATCTGCAAGTTGATAGATACTGTAATTAGATTCTTTTCTTTGGAACAATAGATATTCTTTTCAGGCTATTTAATTAGTTCTTGGACTTGTTTATGAGCTGTTCTTTAGCAATAAGATATGACATCATGTTTCTCTGTACCGTGACTTGTCTTGGCAAAAGGGCCTATGGTAAATTACAAAATGAAACCGAAGGCATCCAATTCCTTAATATCTGCACTTGTGCCTTAGTAGCCTTTTCTTTAACTAGCGTTACACAGTGCTACACTGCTACTTGTCAGTAGTTAGACAGTCTTTCCTAAACCGTGGCCAGGACTGTATAGACCGATTCTACCACACTCTGGTTGATGCATACTTGCTTCAAACAGTGGAAAGAGGCATAGAGAAGTAGACAACTCTTCGTCAACCTTCTCCTCCGACCTTTATCCATCAGGACAAATAAAGCATAGAGAAGTAGACAACTCTTCGTCAACCTTCTCCTCCGACCTTTATCCATCAGGACAAATTTATTTATTGGTAAGCCAAATGATGATTACCTGGTCACTTGTGTTAGTCACTGAATTCTTACTCTTGGTAGTAGCAGAATTCTTACTCTCATCGATAGAGGATGACACTAGGAGTTGGGATAATTTTCTGGTTTATTTATCATACAAATGTCATACCAACCTGAGGGGTTGGGAATACATATTTATAGGCTGCTAGCCAACCAAGCATATGCTAAGATGCTGTCCTAGACAGTTCAAAGATGCTGTCCTAAAACAAATGATGTCCTAAATGCTAAGATGTTGTCCTAGCCAGTCAAGAGATGTTGTCCTTGATGGGCAGCAAGACCACCATGCAGCCACAAGGACCATATGCTGCAGCCCCACAAAGACCAGCCAACACAGAGACTTATCCCATCATTCTCCCCCTAAGTCTTGTGCGTCGTCTTGTGGGAAAGTTGAACCATCCCGGTCCTGGAGCAGAGCTCAAAGAACTTGATCCTCCCAAGAGGCTTGGTAAGCAGGTCCGCAAGCTGGTCCTTGGTGTTGATGATGTAGCTCGCCTTGATGCTCCCTTCCTCCAAACAACCTCGGATGAAGTGGTACCTCACCCGGATGTGCTTACTCCGTTCATGGAAAACGGGGTTATTTGCTAGGGCCAGAGCGGACTTGCTGTCCATCCTGAGCTCCACCGCTCTAGTGTCTCTGCCGAGGAGATCACCAAGCAGTCGAGCGAGCCAGAGCGCCTGAGTCGAAGCGGTGGAGGCCGCTATGTACTCGGCCTCGTAGCTGGATAGGGCCACCACCTACTGCTTGACCGACTGCCAGCTAACAAGGCACTTGCCGAGGAGGAAGAGGATCCCGCTTGTGCTCTTGCTGGTGTTGATGTCGCCGGCGTGGTCGCTGTCGCTGTACCTGATGAAGTGTGCCGCCCCAAGGCACCTAGGGTAGTAGAGGTCGTGGTCGAGAGTCCCCGCAACGTAGCGGATGATCCTCTTCATAGCCTGCTGGTGCTCCATCGTCGGTCGTTGCATGAACCGACTAACGTAGCCGACGGAGAATGCCAAGTCCGGACGTGTGTGGGCGAGGTAGCGAAGGCTCCCCACAAAACACCGGTACTGCGTAGCGTCCACCTCCTCCGTCGTGCTGTCGTGGCTCAGCTTTAGCCTCTCCTCCATCGGAGTGAGAGCTGGGTTGCAGTCGGTGAGCCCAGCTAGCTCAACGACGCGCTTGGCGTAGGCGGTCTGTCGAAGCGTGATCCCGGAGTCATCCTGGTGCACCTCGATTCATAGGTAGAAGGAGAGAGGCCCCAGGTCACTCATCTGGAAGGTGGCCTTCATCTCTTCCTTGAAGCCGCCACCTCCGCATCCTTGGTGTCGGTGATCACCAAGTCATTGACATAGACACCCACCAGCAGAGCATTTCCTCCACTGCCCCGTCGGTAGATGGCCGCCTCGTGCGGGCTTTGCTAGAAGCCCATCCCCTTTAGCGTGGAATCTAACTTGGCATTCCATGCCCTCGGTGCCTGCCGCAAGCCATAGAGGGCCTCGAGCAGGCGGAGCACCTTGCCCTCCTTGTCGGGGATCGCAAATCTCGGCGGCTGATACACGTAGACCTCCTCCTTCAAGTCGCCATTAAGGAACGTCGACTTGACGTCCATGTGATGAACACGCTAGCCCTTCTAGGCAGCTAGCACAAGGAGGAGTCGCACGGACTCCATCCGTGCCACGGGAGCAAAGGCGTCATCGAAGTCGACCCCCTCCTGCTGCACGAAACCTCGTGCCACCAAGCGAGCCTTGTGCTTGACGATGGCACCGGCTTCATCCCTCTTCAGCTTGTACACCCACTTAAGGGTGATCGCGCGGTGACCACGAGGAAGGTCAGCAAGCTCCCAGGTGCGGTTCTTCTCAACCGCATCCATCTCCAACTGCATCGCGGCGCACCATGCCGCGTGTCTCTCGGCCTCTGCAAACGACCGAGGCTTGCCGTCATCACACGCAAGGTGCAACTGCGCCTCCAGGTCATGAGGCACCAATCCTGACACCGGCTGGTCGCCGAGAAGGTTCTCCATCGTACGGTACCGCAACGGCTCGCCGTCGTGGTACGCGTCGATGCGCTCCTCGTCGTGAGAGAGCGGAGTAGCGAGCTCAACTGGGTTGTGCTCGACATGAGCTGGTGTTGGAGTAGACGAGCCCGGAGAGGTACCTCTCGATGCTAGAGTGCGTGGCGGTGCCGGGTGTGGTGGAGCCGGCGAAGAACTCATCGCAGCCGAGGTCCTGGCTGGAGAGCGTGGTGCTGTCGGAGTAGCAGGCGTTGGGGTCAGTGGAGGCTCGGGGACTGGGGTAGACGCGCTCGTCGAAGAAGAGCTGCCTACTCCCCCCAGCTTCCTCAAAGTGGACGTACTCGACAGTGAAGTCATCGTACATTGGAGCCGAGCCGTTCTCCACCGCCTTGTCCCACGCCCATCCTCGCCCTTCGCTGAACACAACGTCGCGCGCCGTGCACACACGCTGTGTCTTCGGGTCGAGGATGCGGTAGGCCTTCGAGCCCTCCACGTAGCCGATGAACACTCCTGGAGTGCTCCTATCGTCGAGCTTGCTGATGTGGCCAAGCTCCTTGGCGAACGTGAGGCAGCCGAAGACCCGAAAGTGGGAGACCGCCGGCTTGCGCCCATGCCAAGCCTCGTACGGCGTCCTACTTTCGAGCGCCTTGGTAGGCGAACGGTTGAGGATGTAGATGGCCGACACCATCACCTCTCCCCAGAAGACAGCCGACATCCCCCTCTGCTTGAGAAGGGCCCGAGCCATCCCCCACAACCGTCTGGTTGCGCCGCTCGACGACGCTGTTCTGCTGCGGGCTGTACGGCGCGGAGTAGTGGCGCTGAATGCCCTTATCAGCGCAGTATGATGCGAATTCAACCATCGTTGTCGGTGCGCAGCACGCGTAGCTTGCGGCCGCACTCCACCTCCACAGCAACCTGTGCGCGCCTAATGGTGTCCGCAGCCTCTCCCTTGCTGCCGAGGACCATCAACCACATGTAGCAGGAGAGGTCATCGACGAGCAGTAGGAAGTAGCATCGTCCTCCTAGTGTGGCCGATGTCACCGAGCCACACAAGTCCCTGTGCACAAGCTCGAGCCTCTCCTTGGCTCGAAAGCTCGCCTACTGGGGAAAGGGGAGTCGCCTCTGCTTCATCAACACGCAGACGTCGCAGAGATGCTCCACATGGTCGAGGCATGATAGGCCTCGCACCATCTCCGTGGCACTGAGCCGCTTCAGGGCCTCGAAGTGAAGGTGCCCGAAGCGCTCGTGCCACTGCCATGCCTTGTCATCCCAACGAGCAGTGAGACAGAGGGGTTGTGCCACCTGCACATTAAGGACGTAGAGTCGATTTGCACTTCTGGTTACCTCGGCAAGAAGGCGACGATGGCGATCCCAAATCCTCATGACTCCATCCTCAACCACCACGCGTGAACCGTTCTCATCCAGCTGTCCCAAGCTGATGATAGAGTTCCTCAACGTGGGGATGTAGTAGACTCCAGTGAGCAACCTGTGCTCACCAGACACGGCGGTGAAGATGACGGAGCCGACGCCCTTGATCTCCACACTGGAGGCATCCCCAAACTTGACGGAGCCTCAGACGCTAGAGTCAAGCTCGGTGAAGAACTCCCGTCGACCGGTCATGTGATGGGTGGCACCGGTGTCGAGGCACCACCCGTTAGTCTTGTCGTTGCCAGAGCCGTCGCCGAGGAGGGCGTGTGCTTTTGGCTCATCAAGGTGGAGGAGAGCCGCTGTGGCCGGTGCTGCTGGAGGTAGCTCAATGCTTGCATGTGCCATGAATAGAGCCGGCTCCTCCTCCTTCGCCTATGCGACGTGGGCCTAGCCGCGTCGTGGCTGTCGACAGTCCTTGGCCCAATGGCCAAGCTGGCCGCAGTTGCGGTCGTCTCGCGTCGGCTTGTGCTTGCCGGCGGCACCACCCTAGGCGCCTCCGTGGGCATCACCCTTGGCACGTCCTCGTGCCCCGACCTGGGCATCTCTGCGCGCCTTGCGCGGCTTGCCACGCTTGCGGCCGCCTGTCGCGGAAGAAGGGCCTTCTTCCGGTTACCTTGGCAGGCAACCCACTGCTCCCGAGTGAGAAGGAGCTTCCCGCCAGTGGTGATGGGCTTCGAGAGAGACTATGGCTCATCGCTGTCGACGAGCTTGAGACGACCTATCTCCTCCTCGATCGACATCGTGGAGAGATCCAGCAGAGACTCGATCGAGCGAGCCATCTGCTTGTACTTCTCGGGGACGCAGCGGAAGAGCTTTTCGATAGCTCTCTCCTCGCCGTAGGTGTCATCGCCGAACTGCACCATCTTCTGCAACATAGTGTTGAAACGGAGAGCAAAGTCATCAACATCCTGACCTGACTTGAAGGCTAGGTTCTCCCACTCCTTGCGAAGTGCCTACAGTGTGGACTTGCAGGCGCGGTCACTGCCGATGCATGCCGCAGCGATGGCGTCCTAAGCCTCCTTGGCAGTCCGCTTGTTGGTAAGCGAGAACTGCATCTCGGACGGGACTGTAGCGATGAGGGCATCCAGCGCCCGTCGATCCTGGTCGTAGTCGATGTCGCCGTACCGGACTGCCTCCCACATGTGCCGCACCTGGAGCTTTACCCTCATCACCGCAGCCCGCTCGACGTAGTTGGTCTTAGTGAGGGTAGGCCACCCACCGTTGGGGCCGATGTCCCTGACAACAGCCTGGAGCCCGTGGTAACCACGGTACCGATTCGGGGAGAGAGAGCCACGCTGCCTGTGAAGGCCGCGCTCTCCATCGATTCGTCCGCCACCGTTGCCGTGTGCGCCTCCTCTAGGAGCGCCACCGCCGTGCGCGCCTCGAGGAGCGCGCGGCGCGTCCACCTATCTATCTAAGGCTGTCGCCCCGTGCTGCTCGTGGCGTCTTGCGCGCCGCCGCGCCATTGCCGCCGCCGCTTCACCGCTGCCTCCCTCCCCAGCAGCTCGATGTCCGCGCCGGTCTTTGCCGTCGATAAAATGGAGCTGCTGATCTTTGCCGCGAAACCTCGACCTCTCGTTGCCGCGCCAAGTAGGGCCGCTTGCATCCGCCGCCCCGCCTTTACTGCGCCTCGCTCTTTGCTTTGCCGATCTCAACGCTTACCGCCGCCTTTCGGCCTATCTCTCTGCCGCCGCTTCGCCTCGCGTTCTCTGTTCGTGGCAAGTTCGGCCTCTGCCGGCCCGCGCGTGCTTTCGAGGCGATCGAGCCAGGCGCTGCTAGATGCTGGACATTGACGCTACATGGGGGCTGCTGCGTGGGGAGAGGCCGCTTCTGAGCGCCAGCTGCGCAGAGAGGAGAAGAGGCGAGGTCGGCAAGCGGTGAAAACTGCTTGGTCCCAGCCAGCATTGGCTGTTGCAAAAAGGGAAAGGAGATGAGCGAGGAGATGCTCGAGCTACGAGATAATCTCGGCTCGATACCCGGTGGTTAGTCGCTGAATTCTTACTCTTGTTAGTAGCTGAATTCTTACTCTCATCGAGAGAGGATGACACTAGGAGTTGGGGCAATTTTCTGGTTTATTTCTCACACAAATATCATACCAATCTGAGGGGTTGGAGATACATATTTATAGGCTGCTAGCCAGCCAAGCATATGCTAAAATGTTGTCCTAGCCAGTCAAGGATGCTGTCCTAAAACAGATGCTATCCTAGATGCTAAGATGCTGTCCTTGCCAGTCAAGGATACTGTCCTTGATGGACAGCAAGACCACCATGCAGCAATAAGGATCATATGCTACAGCCCCATAAAGACCAGCCAACACAGAGACTTATCCCATCAACTTGTAAAGTAGTACCATAATAACAAGTGCTTAATTCTTCTAACTAAAACTGGAATTTTCTGCTGCTGGCACATCGCCCATCTGAGAGGTTTCATATGGATGGTGACAGATTCGAAGTTGAATTGGAAAGATATATATCTTCCTTTGTATACAGTAGTCACTGTAGCTGCGGGTTCAAGCCAACTAGTTGGCTCTGATTACGACTCTGAATATAGGCTATTGGTTCGATATAGGCATTTTACAATACAGTACTTGGACTCTTAGGAGATAAGAACAGCATTTTACATGACAGTAGGGGAGCTGTCGGCCTGTCGTCGTAGCACAGCTGGTCAAGTTTGTGTCTGTGTGGGGACGAAAACCCCTCGGATCGTCCATAGCCCACCCTCATTTTTCTAAAACCATGATCCAATACAACTCAGACAGGTGTTGAGGGAATTCAGGGTTGTGTATTTGATAACTCCATCCTAGACACTTATTAGAATTAACTAAGGCACTAAGCCAAAAGTTAACGTCACATATCCGTTCAGCAGAAAATAGGCCCTCCCTCTCAAATAGGCTCCCTCGTGTTAGAAGCTTAAAGTTATTGGTGCATGTATTAGAATAGGAGCTAAAGATCTCAAGTTCAAATTCTGGCTAATGTACCGGTGTAATAAAATATTATTGTTTACTCCAATTCTATGCCTGATGCCTAACCTAATGGAGAGTCCACATGAGGGAAAGTGTTAAAATATAATGGAGTCTCTTCTCCACCCATCACCAGCTTAAGCTTTGACTGAACTGTTGCTGCAGTGCATCGCCAACCCATCCTCCCTATAAATCCAAGTTTTCTTTTCGCCTCGTTTGGCTCGATCATGACTCTTGCCAATGATATGTTTTGTGCCATGCTTTTAGCTTTGCAAACGACACAGCACAGACCCTGATTCCCCAGCTGTAAGCTTTTTCCTAATGAGAAGTGATAATGCATCCATCTAACTCACATCAGAAGATTGGCAATACTAATATACTATTGTTTACTCATCTCGCCTACCAATTCGTGTGTCTCAGCACTAGAAATCAATTTGACTTATTTATGGTTTGCTTTGCTGGCTAAATGATCAGTGTTTCTTTGTCTTGGTTTTGCTGCCAATATACTATGCAGTAAAGTTAGAACTCACTCTGACCAGCAGATCGAGCTGGACTCTTGGCTGATGGTGACAGTCTGACAGATGGGAATTAGAGAAATACGTTACCTTCCGTTGGAATCGTAGACGCCTGAATCGCTTCCGTGCTTGCCCTTGTGGATGTTCTTCACGTAAATTGGGAGCTTGAAAGGCGCAGTCTTCTCGTTCTCCTTCAGCGAAACAAGAAACATGCAAGGACACACGCGAGTCAGTCAGCCTCATCAGGGAGATAATAATAAAAATATCAAATACGTATCTTACAGCCTGTTCGGGAGGCCATATCATATCGTGGATTATTTACTGCTGCCTAGTTTGATGTGAGAGAAAAACACTGTTACTGGCTGGAAATTTACGATCATTTACGAGCAAGCGAACAGGCTGCTAGTTTACACCTGACACGATTTGCGCACGTATACACCACTATCGCATAGCGACATTCAAAAGATATATATAAAATTAATCAAAAGGAAGCTATTACTTTGTTGAGCATTGGGTGTTCAAAATTAATGGAATATAATGCATGTAGCTAGTACGCCATAAGACACGGCAGGTAGCTTTTATGCCTGCCTTTTTTCTTCTTTCCCTTTCTCTGAAGAGAAAGGTGCAGTGGCATCTCTCTTTCAACTTTCAAGGTGTTATGGGTGCTGCCAATCTGGCATCGATTCAGTATCTTCACGTTAGGGACATTTTTCCCGATCAGTACTTATCTGATTAAGTGCCATTCTTTATGACTCTAAATGAAGCTATTAATATTAATATTACTTCGGTTTCTGAGTTTTTTTTTCCGGTTTTCTGAGATTTGAGAATACGTTACGTTATTTTAGGTATCATCACTGAGTAATATTGATTTTTTTTTCAAATGGACCAGCAGGATTCTGCCCAGTTTGTGTCAATAAAGGAGAGTTCAAATTAAAACGACTTGCAGAGAGACAGAGAGAAGGGGGGAGGTTACACATAGACTGTAATTTCAGAGGAGGCTACAGGTGTAATAAACATTCATAAACGTGTTATTAAATTTTCATAAATTTTAAAAGGAGATGTCGTAGAGATGTAGGCATCTTTTGGTTTGGAGACAGAAGGAGCAAAAGCTGGCATCGTTTTACGACAAGCTGAAAATGTGCTACAGAGAAATAGGAAGCAACCTTTCAGACATCCAACGCGATCTGCTTTGGCCAAAACAGTTGAGATGTTTGGTCTTAACTCTTAACTAGCTTGAAACTTGTAAACGATCATTGGGCACTATAACTCTCTGATTTATAGAAGAAAAAAAAACTGAAGCTTTGTGAAAGTGGAAGCCACATATTTAGCGAAAACCGGTATTAACATGTTTATAGTTTTCCACTAACTTCATCTAAAGCAGACGTCGGCGAAACCCAAACCGAGCCAAACATGCATAGAGAGAGGAGGCAAAAATTTAAGCGACTCAAGCTCTGATGCATCATGCATAGAGAGAGGTGAGGTACCGGTACGGTCTTGGGTCCAAGTCCACCGTTGACGAAGACGGCAGCGGCAGCAGACAGGGCGACGCCACACCCGATAGCTCGGAACCCTGCAGCAGCGACACACTTGGTGAATGATTGGTGGGTCACCGGTCCTATTATTCTCACAGCGACGGACAGCGACCTGCTATTTTCAAGCGCCGGTACGGTGATCCAGAAGAGGCACACACTCTCGTGCTATTATACAGTAGAGTACCTTGGTATGTCTCGGAGGGGTAGATGATGCCGTCCTTGTTGCGGTCGAAGAAGGCGACGTGCCTCTGCAGCGGCGTCAGCTCGCCTTTGTACACGTCCGCCATGGACGACGACGAGGAGGAGGAGGACTCCTCGACTTTGTTGCTCCCTGGTCCCAGCAGCACAGAGAGGAGCACGGTGGTTACGAGTGCGAAACTTGTGCCGCGAAGAACATGCCGAGCCATTGATGTCTGGACTTGCATGCTCTCTCTCTCTCTGCTAGGATGCTTCTTGGGGAGGGCTTAGACTTGCTACTTACCGGTGTCTGCAGCAGCTTTGCCGGCCATGGATCGAGGTCGTTGCAGGTGAGAGAGATCGACGATACCGACGAAGACCGAGAGATGGAGCTGGAGAAACAGGGGAGGGAGGTTGGAGGAGCCTTGGAGAAAGAGGAAGGAATTTGGAACAGAGATGCTCTGGTTTCGATCGGCGGTGGAAACTGACGCTTTATTTGTGGATGGATGGATGCGTTGCGTGGGGGTGACGGGCGGGCGTTATTTGCAGCCGACCCAGGCCCCAGCCGTGTCGCGCTTGCACCGTGTCCTGCGCGCGTCTGTGTGTGCAAAGCGAAAGCATCTCCAGCCTAAGCCAGAGCAAGAGATTCGTTCGAGAGGCCGGATTTCTGTCTCGCGCGCGGTCCATCCGCATCCATATCTCTCGGTGCCTCGCCGCGTGCCTGCTCCGGCCGAAGCTTCTTATTCGCGGTCGAGGTGTCGTCTGTGCGGCAGTGCTTGTTGCTTGCTGCCGCCGCTTGCGGTCGACCGGCCTCGAGGTCACGGCCCGCGTCAGCGTGTGGTCGATCCTCTGCTGCTGCTGGGATCGGTGGTGCGTGACGGCGAGATAGTCAGAGCGGCGGAGGGCCAGGTCGCCAAGACATGGCCTGTATCGGCTGCCCGGCTGGCGGTTTGTCGAGAACGCGAGAGCGGCGGGGCCGATCGTCAGACAGCTAGCAGAGATGAAGATGCCTACTCCTACGCACACGATCCCGTATCCCATCCCGAGAGCTGCCCCGCTGCTATGTCGCGCATGCAGCGTGCACGTGGACGTGTTGGACCGCATGGGGCGAAACTCCAGTTCAGCCCGAATTCCTCTCGCGCACAGCTAGCGAATTCGGTCCGCGGACGAGTTGTCACGCTCAGGCAGCGCCCAGCAGAGAGGTTGTCACTCGTCAACAGAGCGCTCATCTCCAGACCAATACAAGAACAAGCACACTAGTATTGTCTACTAGTCTGCCAGGGCCATGTTTGAGTTTAACAACTAACTTATATAATAAGTTGTCTCAAATTCTAATCGCTTGGCTTATTCCTGTATACTAAAAGTTAGCCACGTCGGCGTTCTCCAGCCGGCCGCATCTCTCAGCCTCTCCAGACCACGCATCACGTACTCACCGCCTCCCTGCCTCCCTGAGCCTCTCCAGAAGTTCCATAAAAAAGATTATATGTCACCGCTCCCAGACAAAACTATTGTTTCTTCTTTAATGACCATGCTTGATACACACAACCTAATTGTTGGTATTTAGAACTGCTCTCACAGACTAACGTTTCTGACCACATAGATGATCATTATGCTGTACAGTTATTTTGTCAAAACGGCATGGCAATTGGCCCGACAATTATGCCATCCTTAATAAAATCAAACGCTAACTGAGACACACTGTAGCTACTGATGCGCCACTACTGAATCCCATGAAAACTTGAATATAGAAGATGCCGATTCAGAACATGGCGCAAATAACTAAGCGCCTAGATACACTCTTATGTAGTGTTACATAATCACGAGTAATCATGAGACGATTTAACAACTAACTTATATAATAAGTTGTCTTTCTAAGTTATTTTATAATAATCTAATCGCTCCTAGATCCTTATTCCTGTATACTAAACTCCTCCCTCAGTTAGCCACGTCGGCGTTAGACTCCAGCCGTCCGTTCCCTGCCTCTCTCAGCCTCTCCAGAGATCCCGTGAAAAAAAAAACCCACCTCCTGCCTCCCTGAGCCTCTCCAGAAGTTCCATAAAAAAAAGAATACGAACCACGCGTCACCGCTCCCAGACAAAACTATTGTTTCTTCTTTAATGACCATGCTTGATACACACAACCTAATTGTGCAAATATTTAGAACTGCTCGAGACAGACTATCTGTACAACCAGAAGGCCTTTCTGACCACATAGATGATCATTATGCTGTACAGTTATTTTGTACCCCAAAACGGCATGGCAACATTTATAGTGGCCCGATCGCACCAGAAGTGGTTGGCTTGGTGGTGAATGATCTAGGTGCCACTGATAAGGGACGTGACTTAATAGTGCAAGATCGCTCATCTCACCTCCACGGGGTAACTGAGACACACTGTAAATTTATGGCCATGCAGTATCCACTACTGTTTCCCTATGGAGAAGATGGATTCCATGAAAAACTTGAATATAGAAGATGTCCTCGGTCACAGAACATATATGAAGCGCAAATATGTCACCATGGCTGAATATTACTCATATAGACTGCACGATAGGCCTAATGATTTCAATACCCCTTTGCGGTCCAAGAGGCATACTCAGGCATATGAGGTTGACAGTTACTGTTGCGTCGAAGATGATCGACTCGGCCATTATAGGAATATATCTTTCCAAAAAAATGCAGGTCCAGCCCATATAATGTTTTAGTTCAGGCAGTCAACAGTGGTATCACTGAGGCTTCATCTACGGGGCAGAGAATTTTCTTACCAGGTTCATTCACTGGAAGCCCACGCTACTACTATCAAAACTACCAGGATTGTGTTGCGTTGTGTCGCAGATTTGGATGCCCAGATTTATTCATTACTTTCACATGTATATAATACTTTATGGCAAGAAATTGAGGATGGCCTAGCATGCATACCAGGACAGCACGCTTCAGACAGACCTGATATTGTTGATCGAGTTTTCCAAATGAAGCTCAAACTACTTATGGATGATATAGAGAAGCATGGATTTTTTGGCCCCATACTTGGAGGTACCGTTATCGCCACGATCTATGCCATTTCTCCCACTCTTTCCACTCACCATTATTCCTAAATTTTTTTCTGCATTCTTTCCAACAGTTGTGTACACAATCGAATTCCAAAAAAGAGGCCTTCCACATGTCCACTTAATTCTGTGGCTTAAGAAAGATAGACCTCTGGATGCTGATCAGATAGATGCATTCATCTCAGCGCAGCTGCCAAATCCAACTGATGATCCTATAGGCTTCGAGGTTGTTTCAAGGTTCATGATCCATGGACCTTGCGGATCTCTAAATACATTTTCTCCTTGCATGGTTGACGGAAAATGTGACAAGTTCTACCCAAAAGAATTCTCTGAAAAAACTACTGTACTCCCTAATGGTCAGGTCAGATATGCTCGGCCACATAATGGCATTACTACCGAAAAAAAGGAGTCCAGATTGATAACAGATTTGTGGTGCCCCATAATGTGGATCTATTAGTTAAGTACCAGGGCCACATAAATGTTGAAAGTGTTAACCGTAATGGAATGGAGAAGTACTTATTTAAGTACACTAACAAAGGTCCTGACCGTGCTAAAGCCACACTCAAGAGAAAAAAACATGGTTCGGATCCTACAGCTCAGGTAATTGATGAAATAAAGGAATACTTGGATTGCAGATGTGTAACTCCCAATGATGCAGCATGGAGATTGTTCCAGTTCGATATACACTACACTAATCCATCTATCGAACGTCTGCCAGTCCACCTTCCGCTGGAAAACGGTGTAACGTATATCGAAGATGGCTATCTTGACCAGGTGATCCATGATCCATCAAAGGTCATAACAAAACTAACAGCATGGTTCGAGGCCAACCGGCAATATCCAAAGGCTCGACAACACACTTATGTAGAGTTCCCTGAATACTGGACATGGCACGATGATCATAAATACTGGGATTGTCGTCGCAACAACCGTGCCAAAGTTGGACGCATTGCTAATGTAGCTCCTAATCAAGGCGAAAGATTTTACCTCCGTATGTTGCTTCATGTCGTCAAAGGAGCACAACACTACTCAGATCTTCGTACTATTGCAGGCCATCGACATCCAACATTTCGTGCTGCGTGTGAGGCGCTCGGCTTGCTTGGCGATGATCAGGAGTGGTTCAATGCTATGGCTGACGCGTCGCATTGGGCGCTTCCACATCAGCTGCGCCAATTGTTCGTCACATTACTGATGTTTTGTGAAATTGCAAACCCAGTCAGATTACTTGATGATTATGTACAGAAAATGGGAGAAGATATAGCGTATCGTGCAAACCATCTAGCTCCAGAAATCCCAGTAGCTCTAATCGAGCAACAGGTCAGATCCTATGTCCTGCACGAATTAGATAAATTGCTCAAGGATGCTGGATATAGCCTAGATCGCTATCACCTACCACAACCAGAACATGATTGTTGCCCAGTTCTTACCAACGGATTTATAATGGAAGAGCTTTCTTACGCTTCTGATGGTACAAGATTCGAGTTAGCTCAGCAGATCAGCCAACTCAACACAGACCAGAGACATATTTACAACATCATAGAACATTCAGCCTTAAACGGTTGTACTTTTCTCTGGAATCCTTTGCTTAATGGTATTAGAAGCAAAGGGAAAATAGCCTTGGCGGTTGCATCTTCTGACATAGCAGCTCTACTACTCCCAGGAGGTCGAACACCCCACTCGCGTTTCAGAATGCCTTTGGACATCCATGAACATTCCATGTGTTCAATTAAGAAAAATACAAAGCTGGCTGAACTAATACAACATACATCACTGATCATATGGGACGAAGCACCTGTGCACCACAGACATTGCTTCGAAGCCCTTGACCGCACGCTTAGAGATGTCATGTCATCCAATACCAATGATTCAGCGCACAAACAATTTGGTGGCATAACAGTTGTACTTGGTGGTGACTTCAGACAAACTCTACCAGTTATCCCACATGGAAGGAAACATCAGGTGCTAAATGCATCCATCACCCGATCCTATTTATGGCGGCAATGCAAGGTCCTTCAATTGACAGAAAACATGAGACTTACATGTCCAACTCTTTCTGATTTTGAAAAGTTGAATTAGACAAGTCTGCACAGTGGCTCCTATGCATTGGCAACAGCACGGTACCTGTTAGCACACCTGCAGAAAACCCTGATACATCGTGGGTCCAAATTCCAGACAACCTACAGTT